TCTCCACACTTTACTTACAGTAATCTTGTAAATGGCCACACTTTACTCACAGTAATCTTGTAAATCTCCACACTTTACTTACAGTAATCTTGTAAATCTCCACACTTTACTTACAGTAATCTTGTAAATCTCCACACTTTACTCACAGGAATCTTGTAAATGGCCACACTTTACTTACAGTAATCTTGTAAATGGCCACACTTTACTCACAGTAATCTTGTAAATGGCCACACTTTACTTACAGTAATCTTGTAAACGCCACACTTTACTTACAGTAATCTTGTAAATGGCCACACTTTACTCACAGTCATCTTGTAAATGGCCACACTTTACTCACAGTAATCTTGTAAATGGCCACACTTTACTCAAAGGAATCTTGTAAATGGCCACACTTTACTCAAAGGAATCTTGTAAATGGCCGGACTTTACTCACAGGAATCTTGTAAATGGCCACACTTTACTTACAGTAATCTTGTAAACGTCATACTTTACTCACAGGAATCTTGTAAATGGCCACACTTTACTCGGTCATCTTGTAAATGGCCACACTTTACTTACAGTAATCTTGTAAATCTCCACACTTTACTCACAGTAATCTTGTAAACACCACACTTTACTTACAGTAATCTTGTAAACGTCACACTTTACTTACGGTAATCTTGTAAACGCCACACTTTACTTACAGTAATCTTGTAAACGCCACACTTTACTTACAGTAATCTTGTAAATGGCCACACTTTACTCACAGTCATCTTGTAAATGGCCACACTTTACTCACAGTAATCTTGTAAATGGCCACACTTTACTCAAAGGAATCTTGTAAATGGCCACACTTTACTCAAAGGAATCTTGTAAATGGCCGGACTTTACTCACAGGAATCTTGTAAATGGCCACACTTTACTTACAGTAATCTTGTAAACGTCATACTTTACTCACAGGAATCTTGTAAATGGCCACACTTTACTCGGTCATCTTGTAAATGGCCACACTTTACTTACAGTAATCTTGTAAATGGCCACACTTTACTTACAGTAATTTTGTAAATAGCCACACTTTACTCAAGAATTTTGTAAACACCACACTTAATTATTCAAAGGAATCGGGCAAATACATCACTTTGACCTTATGAAGGTTGTATCTAATGGTTTTGTTTAGTGTGAATAATGAGCTTCCATAAAATGTATAGATATGGTTTAAAACAATTCTATGAAAATATTTTTTCTAGGTAACTATTGCCTTGCTTTCAAAAAGAATTTCATTGACACTCTAGTTTATTAGGGTTGTAAAAGGGCTTACAGGTTGTTGGTACAAATCAAATATATCACACTCTTAAATATGCTTTGAATCTACTAAGTGTAAATTCTTGTGAATTCAGTATGGCTACCTAATGTATGTCGTAAAAACCCATCATTGGAATGGTTCTGATGAAATCTCAGCTTATCTTAGCTTATCAGTATATCACACTTGATATACCCGCTCATCATTATCAAAGGTTTCAAGTAGTAACTAGATATGAATTATATCTCTTTATTTCAATGCCATCAAGAAGAATAATCTAAGATGATTATAATTACAATATATGCAAAGATAACAATGCATCAAGACATAGTGTTGTCTGCATATCAATGGATAGTACATTCATTCTATATTTTTCTTGTTTAATCATTCCTAGGTTTTTCATAAAACATGAAATCCTGTTGGAAAACATAAGATTATATAATTAGAATCAACTCAATAATATTTGCATTTATGTAATCATGCCTGGGTAAGTCTGAGATGAACATTGCACAGATCCATTGCCATACATGTCATTCATTGAATTAAAAACAACATAACATTTGATTAATAGGTTTTTAAAAGTTTTCTCAGTAGAATTTGTTATCAACAAATTAAAAATCTACATATTCATAGTAACTTTAACTGAAAAATTGAAAAAAAATGCAAATACAGCCTTAACCAAAAATACAAATAAGTCTATGTATTTATACTTGAATAACATTGAAATAGGATATGTGCTCTTTATGCATATGTGTGCATGGTACTGACAAATGTCTTGTACATTGTATTTAGCACACTTATGTATGTGTGAATTTGTTGCATTTAGCATACCTACTTATGTGTGAATTTGTTGTATTTAGCACACTTATGTATGTGTGAATTTGTTGTATTTAGCACACCTATGTATGTGTGAATTCGTTGTATTGAACACATCTACATATGTGTGTATTTGTGAATTTGTTGTATTAAGCACACCTATGTATGTGTGAATTCGTTGTATTTAGCACACCTATGTATTTGTGAATTTGTTGTATTAAGCACACCTATGTATGTGTGAATTCATTGTATTTAACACATCTATGTATGTGTGAATTCGTTGTATTTAGCACACCTATGTACGTGTGAATTTGTTGTATTAAGCACACTTATGTATGTGTGAGCTCATTGTATTTAGCACACCTATGTATGTGTAAATTTGTTGTATTTAGTACACCTATGTATGTGTGAATTCGTTGTGTATGATAAGGTTGTAGTACTCGTCCATGCCAGTACGAAATGCTTTTGTTGTCAATTTTCCGGTATACACATAAATAATGTATACTTACCAAAAGAAAGACTGCTCCAATCATTACTGCTTTCATCCTGACGTCAAGATCCATTGGAACTAATAAAGAAAAAATTCACTGAATCATTGGAATCTAAACGTAAAATTCATTGAATCAAGAAGAACTAATAAAGAAAATGTCATTGAAACAAAAACTAATACAAATACGTCATTTAATTGAAACTGACGAAAAATATCATTGAAGCAATTGGAACTAAACGAAAAATGTCATTGAACCGACAACAATATTAATATCCAATTGTAATTTAGTTGGAACTTGTTACATTTCCGTTGCATATTCTTACAAATTGTACTAACATGTAATTCCAAATTGGTCAGCGTCAGTGAACCATTCCTTTCCCAATCCTGACCACTGTTTGGCAACTCTTCCAATAACCGTCTCCAAGTCTTTATCATACAACTATAAAATATAAAATTTACAGTTTGTTAGCGCCCTCTGAGTTGGTGATACACTTTTACATTCCCAATAAATGCGACGTAGATGACACCATTACTACTGCACACTGAATGATGTTGTCTCAAAGTAGAATTGTTGTAGGGTGATGTGACAAGCATTGTAGCCGTATTATCCGTGATATATTTGACACTCATGTCAGGTTACGATTATCGTAAAGGGCGTTGCACAGTTCATTTACTCACATCAAACTCGACATCTCCACAGCATCGGCATTTGATACATGGACCTCTTAACTTTAAAACTGTATCATCTTCAGCATTACGTATATCAAACTTCGGTTTGATGACGCTACAACTGCAATCAAGAAACATGGAATGTGACCAACACATTACAGTACACATGGTACACATAACATATACGCAGAATACATAATAGTACACAGTAATAGTGGACAAAAAAGCAAAATAGTACACATAATAATATATATATGACATTCACATAATGGTACATATGCATAACACAGTTTTGTACAAATCACTTACTACAACACGTAACATTACACGCAATATGTACATAACACATATAGGGCGTTTCACACGAATAACAAAGGTCGGGGTTAATATACTGTTGCAAAAACACATGATTAACCTAGTCAACGCCTATGCAGGCTAGCTTAGCTCGCGGTCGATGGGAACGGGAATTGCAGGGGTTACGGTTATCTGATAGTAGGTGAATAGGCGTGAATGAGAGGCTGAGTAAAAACTAGTGCGACGTATGCACCTAGTGCAACGTTTAGCTCACTGAATATTTACAAGTGATCCAGCTCTCCGTTTGCCGGCACGTGTGAGCAGGGCTATGGCAGTAGACGTACATGTAACTATACAAAATACATGCTAGTATACATGACACATAATAGATCACTGAGCGCAGTATACATAACCATACTAACACAAAGAACACATAATAGTACACACAAACATAATACACAGAACACATAATAGTACACACAAACATAATACACAGAACACATAATAGTACACACAAACATAATACACAGAACACATAATAGTACACACAAACATAATACACAGAACACATAATAGTACACACAAACATAATACACAGAACACATAATAGTACACACAAACATAATACACAGAACACATAATATGGAAACATACTGTCTAGTACTTAGCATACATTATATTTACTATCTAGAGCTCACTCAATAAAGCTTAGGCTCATAAAGCTTTGTTAAAAGGGAATATATAGTAAAGTTTTTTACATTTTAGGAGAAGTTCAATACATATAGATACTTGTACAAGTTTTCATGTGTGAGAGATTTAAAAGCTTAAAATACTGTCAAAAGTAACCAAAATACAACTTACGTTTGCTTTACTCCTCCCAGGGACGTGCCAGTCGGTGTACTAATATCTACACTCATTAGACAACAGAAGAAGCAACACTCGTCACACCGATATGGTCTTTTGATAATCAACACTTCTTGATCATTATTGTCCGTTACAGTCATTGTAAA